CCCCCCCCCCCCCCCGCCGCTTCTCTCTCAAACACACATTCATGCATTAAGACACTACACTGTAAAACTAATTCCGTTCCATGGGGATTTGCTTTCTGCAAAGTGTTTCTGGGACCACCGTCTCTGTTACCTTCTTGATTCAGTAGCCCCAGGCCCCACTGCCCCTCCCATTGTACAAAGGCCCCAGACCTTGCTCACAAATATTGTCAGGGAAGGACATATCTTAAGATAAGCTTGCTTTGTAGAATTCTTGGTAATAGCGACCCAGATGCCTGAGAACTTGATAAAAATCCTTAACTTCTGGCCCAATTGCCACCAGTGCAAATGGCAGCAGATTCGGTTTGCTCAACCTCCTCCTAGCCCTGGTGGAATGAGCTCACCCCAGCAGGCCGCCTGGCCCCCCAAGATTCCAGCAAAGATTGAGCAGAGGCTCTATCTATTCTGCCCCTACCCACCCTAAAGCTGTCTGTAAGTGTCAGAAGATAACCAGTTTCTAGAAGAGTTCAACACTATACATGCTTTGCTGGGTCACTAAAGAACCAACTTGAATTGTCTGTGGCAAATAGGACAAGAAAGTCCATTTCTGCTTCTTCCAGGAAGCCCTCCTTGATCTGCCCAATTCGTGAACTCTCCTCTCGAAATCTGGAATGCTCACTGGCTATACCACTCACACACAAGCTGCTTTGTTTTCTTACTTAGGGTCTCCTAAGTCTGTCAGTCAGGTCTCCCCACACCTTCACAACCGTCCCGCAAGCTCCCTGTGGCACCCGTGCCTCCTCAGACCTCTGGTCACCCTCTGCGGTGCCTAGCTCAGTGTGCTTCCATCCTCGGCCTTGAGGCATTTGCTTGTTGATACGTATCATCACAGTTCAATAAACTCCCACTTGCCTGGCAAGGTGCTGGGTATTTTGTATATATCTTTTCATTTGAATATCCCCAACATTCTAAGAAAGAGGTATTATTATCCTCACTTGGCAGATGAGCAAAGTGAAGTTTCATGATAATTTAGTAATTTCCCAAAATCACAAAGAAGCAAAATTTGAACCCAGGGGATGGAAGCTTTGTGGGAAACAAAGCTGGAGCAGACGATATACCTCCAGTCCCTGCTTGTTCAATAGCGTCACGAACGGCTTGCCACACCTTCAGGGACTCCCCCTCTTCCCAAATCTCAGTGGTCCTTCTGCTAGGTCAGTGGCGCAGGGGTAGAACGACTTTGTTGGTCTGTGACTCTTGACGTGAGGGGAATGCCCAGCCAGCAGGGGGGAGAGCAAAGAGCCCCATCCTTGCTCTGTAGGAGAGTTCAACCTTCTTTCTGCCCCTTTCTCTACTTCCTCCAGGCAGCCCTTCTACCTCCACCCTGGGACAGCCGGTAAAATGTCACTTCCTTCAGTTAATGCCAAGGGCCTCAGTTGATTCCTCACAGAAACCCAGAATGGCCATCCAAGAGAACTTACAAAACACTTCTTTGGATCCCTTATGTGCTGAGAAATCCAGACCAGCTGGATGACATTTTCCTCCCAATGCTCATAAAGCTACAATAATTAAGAGAAAAGGGCTTGGCACCCCGGGGTTGGGGTGGAGTTCAGCTCCAAGCTCTGGAGAAGCTGCCCAAGGTCCTGGAGGGCCTCCCCCCAACACCCCCCCCCCCGTGCCCCGTTGCTCCGGATGTCGGTGCCTCCCCTGCTCCCCCTTGCAGTGCCAAAATGCTGTGGGTCAGTGGTCAGGGCCCTGGCTGGTTTCAGTTTCTTTTCCTTCCATCTTGCAAAGGAGGCAGTAGGACTAGATGAGAAAGCTGGGGACCCAGAGACGCAGATTTAAGCCTGAGGTGAGTGAGCAGCTTCGCTGATTTCAGAGTCTGCCACTGCCTCAATTTCCCGATCTCTCCAATAGGGAGTGAAGCCCAGCATCTCTGACCTCACGGCATGTTATGGGGCAAAGTGAATGACAGAATAATGGCAATACTTCCTCGAATGTCCCGTGGGCCCTTGAGAGTCAGCACGTAAATCATTCATAACAGCCCCAGTGCAACAGGCTCCTGGGCTTCCTCCCTGCTCCATCAGTGGGAGTGTGCTGAGGAAATGGAATTATAAAGCTGCCCTGAGTAAACTGTAATTAGGAAGATAAATCTGCTGTGAAGACATATGTCCTAGAATTTCAGTGCTGAAAGAAACTGTAAGGTTCATTTATTATAACGACACCAAAACTAAATAGAAACCGTGTTTAGGGCATCTGTTGTTCAGGGTTTTCTGCTCTTGTAGGGTTGAGGAGGCCGTGGCATCATCCTCTCCCCGAAGTCCACCATGTACTTCTCTAGGGATCATAATATCGTCCCACCGAGATCCCTGTGGGGTACAAGGAAGGCAGGGATTGTCATCTTAATTTTGGGAGATGCGGAAACTGGAACACAAAGATGTGGGGCAGCTTTGCCAACATCACATGGTAAACTGAAAGCAGAATCAAAATACAGTTCAGGTCTCTTTATCCCTAACATGGGGCCCCTCGCGTCACTCCCAGGAAGGCAGAGTTCTAACAGTAGCCATCGCTGAATAAAATATGGGAGCTCCTCGTTGCAAAGTTCCAGTTGCAAAGCAACTGGAAAGGGGCCACTAAAATTACATTCTAGTATTTTATAGGACATAGCAAAAAACATGAAAAATTATACGACAGCTTATGAACATAGGCACCGAAGAAAATAAAATGTGAGTTAAAGTCACTACTATTTGCGAAATCGTAGAATAAATAATCAAAAATTGATGTGTGGGCAGGATTTTTCTTGCCCAATTTTATGGTGAGATGTCACCATAAAAATTAATATTGCAATTAATTTTTGCCTTTCAAAGTGTAATGTACAGAGTCCTTCAACAATTACTTCAGGGGTCCTTTTCTTAACCCTTTGATACTAAAGGCTTTCTCTTTGGAGGCCCGACACCCTCTTTCCGGAGCCCTCTGCACCTGTTCACCGGCCGCCTCAGCCGGGTCCTCTCCAGGTGGCTCCACCCGTGATCTGCATAGTCCGCTGACACCACTTCAGGCCACCTGAGCAGACTCGGTATCTGTTGCAAGGTTTGCAATTTTATTTTGTGAAGATATACTTGTATTAAGAGGGAAATATTTAGGGAAAAAAAGGAATATTTAAGGATCTCATTTTTTAAAAAGACTTATTTATTTATTGATTTACTTGAGAGAGAGAGCATGAGCGGGGGAGGGGGTGGTAGGGGAGGGGGGAGAAGCAGACCCCCAGCTGAGCAGGGAGCCCGACACGGGGCTCGATCCCAGAACCCTGGGATCATGACCTGAACCGAAGGCAGATGCTTAACTGACTGAGCCACCCAGGTGTCTCTCCCCTAGTTTATCTCACAACTGAAGGATGGAGACAGTGAATTTTCAGATGATAAGAGCTGTTCCTCCACATGCCTCCTTATTCCTAGCCAACTTCAGGGAGATCTGGTTAGGTTGGATTATGTCCTAAGTGAGGCTACTTAGCTTGCACCTACAGTCCTCATACATACTGATCCTCTTTAGAACCAGAACGCTGGGGGGACTCTGTGCAGGAGGAGATGGTCTCAGAACCCCTACTCTTCTTTGCCTAGGACATCATTTTCAGAATGAAACTCTGCCTTCCCTTGGTGCCATGGCTATTTTCACCAGCTTTCTCCTTTGCGCTAGTAGTCTGGGCTAGGACCAGTGGGGCATAACTAAAGAGAGGGAAGGCAGAGTCTGGTAATTCCAGGCCAGATGGGAATGCTTCCTTTCCACCCATGTATTCATTCATTCATTCATTCATTCATTCAGAGAATATAGGGATCAAGTGACCTGGAAGGAAGCAGTTTCCCTCACAGGTCAGGTGGCACTTCACCCATACATCCACTCGTTTATTCAAGTAGCCATCTACCTGAGAGACGTTTGTTGAACAGCTAATAAGTGCTGGCATAATTCTAAGTGCTGTGAGGGTAGAAATGGACATGACACAGACATTCTCCCTGAGGAACTTAACAGGTAGTTGGAGAGATAAGATGTACACATGAGATGTTAATTAATGGTTGTTAGAAGTTTTAAATAGTTGGGGTGCCTGAGTGGTGCAGTCGGTTGAGTGTCCGACTCTTGGTTTCCACTCGGGTCATGATCTCGGAGTCCTGGGATCGAGCCCCGAGTGAGGCTCTGCACTTGGCAGCGAGTCTGCTTGAGATTCTCTCCCTCTGCCCCTCCCACTGATGCTCTCTCTCTCTCTCTAAAATAAATAAATAAATCTTAAAAAAAAGGAAGTTTTAAATAGCTGTATTTGGGGGGTGCCTGGGTGGCTCAGTCGTTAATGTCTGCCTTCAGCTCAGGTCAGGACCCCAGGGCTCTGGGATCGAGCCCCGCGTCGGGCTCCCTGCTCGGTGGGAAGCCTGCTTCTCCCTCTCCCACTTCCCCTGCTTGTGTTCCTGCTCTCGCTATCCCTCTCTCTCTGTCAAATAAATAAATATAATCTTTTTTAAAAATCTATTTATTAAAAAAATAAATTAATAGTTATATTTGGAAAATGTATTATTATTCCTAAGTATGTCACCTTTTATCTCCGAGCCTTTCTGCAAGGTGTCAGGCGTTACCATTTAATTTGTAGATGAGCAAACTGAGGTGCACAGTAATTAGCTGATATTTGGTAGAGCCAGGTTCCTCCCCGTTGACTCCAGTGCTCTCCAGAATCTCCATTTGTTAACCTTTATGAAAATACCAGAGTTATTATTCAGCCATAAAAAAGAATGAAGTATTGATACATGCTACAACGTGCATGAACCTCAAAAACACGATGTTACGTGAAAGAAGCCAGACACCAAAAGGTCACATTTTGTATGACTCCATGTGTGTGGAATATCTAGAAGAGGCAAGTCCATAGAAACAGAAAGCAGATTGGTGGTTGCCAGGGTCTGGGGCCAGGGAGGAACAGGGAGGAACTGCTTAGTGGTATGGGGTTTCCTTCGGGGGGGATGAAATGTTTTGGAAGTAGAGAGAGGTGGTGGTTGCACAACAGTAAGGAATGTACCAAATGCCACTGCATTTTCACTTTAAAATGGTTAAGTTTGTGCTCTGTGAACTCGGTAAAAAAAAAAAAAAAAAAAATTTCAAAGACACCAGAGTTGAGGAACTGTAGAAGAGACCGACAGGAGCCCAAGTATGATTAGGGCCCAGGGCCAAGTGCGAGTCACCGACCGTAAAGGTCGCACTGACTTTGCTCGGATAACGGGCTTCCTCTGCCGCTGAGGACTTGGCGGGGCCGGCGGCCATGTTGCCTTTCCACAGCTCCCACAGCTCCCAGCTTCTCCTTGGCAACGCGTACAGGCCGACGGATGGGTGTCTGTCTTCCCCACGAACCCCGAAGCTTCCTGAGAGCCTGGACCACCTTTTTCACCACAGTGCCTGGTACGGCGCAGGGGACTCAGTAAATTAAACCGGCTCTGGCTCCTCGTCAGTGGTGGTGTGATGGCGGGCCTGGTGACAGACGGGGGCTACACTCGCGAGCCTAGCACGCCGTAGAGACCTGCGGAATCACTATGTCCTACACCTGAAACTGACGCTACCTAGTGTGTCAACTCTACTTCCACTAAAAAAATAGTCATAAAAATAAGAAGCGCCACAAGGGAACCCCAGCGCTGGCTCTACTCCTCTTTGGCCCCTGCGCTGCCGTGTTTTTGAGGCTCCGGGGCGTCCGTCCCTAGACTTCAGCTCTCCCCTCGCTTGTCTTCCTCCGCTCCGCAGACTCAGTGCCAGCGAAGGCCCTGGCTCGGGCTCGGGTCCTGAGTTCTGCTTCCACGTTGTTATTGCCCTAACAACAATGCCTCAGGGTATTTCCTCACTGCTAGACGCCTCCATTTGTCCGGGGCCGACGATACCAATACAGGACTTTTGTGGAACCAGGGGAAAGTTTTTTCTCTGGGGGAAAAAAACTGGCCACCTCTCCTTGTATTCTATAAGGAAAGAAGGAACAGTGCGGATAAGCTATTTATTCCGACAAGCTCTACAAGATTATTTAAACCTCTTCAAAGAGCTGACTGTTTTACATAGGGGCCCCTTCCTGGGCACAGAGCTTGTTTCCATTGGGTATTAGGATTTCATCCCAGAACAGCCAGGCGGTAACAAATCCCCTCATCTTGCAGATTGGAAAACTGGGGTCCAAGACTAATGACTGGTTCAAGACCCACAGCGAGTCAATGACGTGGCCCAGGGTAGACGCAAGGTCTGTGCGCTCGCTGGGCCTCCTCTGGAATGAGCTGCTGAGTCAGGCTGCGAGGGTCTCTGCTGGCGGTCTCCAGCAGACAGGGACAACTGCCATCTGGAACGGGTTAGTCTCACTCCTGCCTGGAGGCTGGAGGATGGACTAAATGACCCCTGCAGGTCCCTTTCTTCCCGAGGCCTCTCCAATTACCTTCTCTAATTTCCAGCAAACATGCTTTCTCTAGGGAAAAATGAATCTGGGGCTCTAGCTTCCCTTGGGAGTCTGCAAACGATTTCACTTTCCAGTTTGGGGAATATGAGCTCCATGAGAGAAAATGCACAGCGGGCTGTCAGAAGGAAACATTTCAACAACAACACACTACATATTTAGATTCTTCCCAGCAACTCATGCTCCTAGTGGGTGCAGTACAAACTGGGAGGCACACTTGAGTCCTCGACCCGGGCCCCTGTCCCTCCCCCCGGGCCCCTGTCCCTCCCCCAGGGCTCTTAATTGGCTGGCTTCTCTGCTTGAGGCCTGGCCTCATCCTCAGAATGCTGCCCCCTCCCCTACCTGGCCTGGGCTCTGGAGGTTAATGAGGCCGCTGTCAGCAGTCATAGCTTTCTGCTTGGGGAGTGTGGACCCTTGTGCCTCCTGAGTGTGTGGGCCACTTTTTGCACGTTTTTTCCTGATTCTTACTTCTCTGAATTTCTATTTTCTGAACCCAAGCTAAGATGCATGGCCTGACAAAGATCTCTCTGATGCTTTGGGCTTAAGGTTAACAATGACAGTAGCTTCTATTTAAACTATTGACTTTGAATGTCTATTTTGCTGAGCACCTTATGTGTGTGTTTCAATTGCTCCCACAGGAACCACGTAAGGAAATGAGGTTCAGAGACATTTAGCGAGTCGTCTAAGGTCACCCACCCAGTAAGTGACAGAGCTTGGATTGCCATCTTGCCCTGACTCCAGCACTCTCATTCTCTACCATGACACTAAACTCAGAGATGTGAGTATGGACTCTGCCAACAGTCACGTATCATTTTGAGGCCAAAAGACTGGCATTTCCCAGACCTTTTTTTTTTTTTTCAGCTTTTTTACACTGTAAGTTTTTAATCATACAGAAAAACCACAGAATAGGAAATGAGCTCCCAGCCCCCAGGTCCAACAATTACCAACATTTTGCCTTCAAATGCCTACTTACTTCATCTATCCATTTCTTCTTTCTCTCTTTTTTTTTCTATAGTACTTTAAAGAAAATTCCTGACGTTGTGTCATTTCTCCCTAAATACTTCCATATGTAGCTCTAAAGAGGGGAAAGGAGAGTGGAAGGAGCGATTTCTTACAGAATCACAAAACTAAACACCTCACACAGATAAACATTTCTTCATATCACCCAATACCCAGTTCAGCTCTAATTTTTCCTCCTGTCTCAAAAATGCCTCTTTACATTCGGCTTGTTTAACTTAGGTTACAAATAAGATGCACGTACCGCATTTGGTTTCATGTCTCCTAAGCTTCTTAATTTACACTTTCATCCTTTCTTTTTCTTTTCCATGTCACTGATTATTAAAGAAACTATGTCCATTGTCTGGACGAATGCTTCACAATCTGGATTTGCTGGATTGCTTCCGTGGGGCGTATTTGACTTGTTCCTCTATCTCCCGTGTTTCCTGTAAAGGTCTAGCTCCAAAAGCTTGAGAGGTTCATTTAATCAGCAAGAACACCACACAGATGGTGCAGTGTACTTCCTATTGCATCCCTTCAGGCACATAGTACCTGATTGTCCTATTTTATTTTATTTTATATTTCAAGTAATCTACACACCCAACGTCGGACTCAAACTCACAACCCCAAGATCAAGAGTCGCATGCTCCACAGACTGAGCCAGCCAGGCACCCCTCTGGTTGTCCAATTATAGTGTAGAGAAACATCAATGTGTTTGGATGGCTCCCAGATATTTTGATGGCTTATAGACATGAAAGAGAATATTTAAATTCCATATTGTCTTAGATTATCTGGGCTATTTGCTATGTTCTCTTTTTTAAAACTTTTTTTTAAGATTTTATTTATTTATTTGTCAGACAGAGAAAACACAAGCAGGGAGTGAGGCAGGCAGAGGGAGAAGCAGGTTCCCCACTGAGCAAGGAGCCCCATGCGGGACTCTGGGATCATGACCTAAGCCAAAGACAGATGCTTAACAACTGAGCCACCCAGGTGCCCCTGGACGATCTGCTATATTCTCTTGAATGGCAGGTTTAAAGACTAATCTGTGTTATATGAGAAAACCACCATTTTTCAGCTTCAATAGAGCTGCAGCCTTTGGGGTCCAAAAGCCTCCTTTGTGTAGGGAAGAAGAGTCACTCCCAAGGTGTTGTAGAAGAGCTGCCCATGTATAGGGGTCAGCAGCTTTTCCCTTGAATGCTATCTTGTGGGTGCGGACCACATTCATGAGTTAACAGCCCAGGAATTAGAAAGTGCCTGGCTGACTGGCATTGGAGTGGCGTCACAGAGAAGTATGGGAAGCATGGCATCACAGAGACAGGAAGTATGGACCGAGTCAAGAAAGAGCCAGGCACAGACCCTGTGTGCTGAGGGAGGCAGCTGGAGGAAGTAGCTGGAGCACAGAACATGGAGAACTTCTGATACTCTTGGAGAAAGTAAGCAGGGGAGACAATAAGTTGGCAGAACTTGGACAAAGGAAGTGCCAAATTAAAGACTCTAGGCAAGGAACTCTAGCAAATATTGAGGAATGCTTGGGACTTGGGGATTGTATTTGGGACCAGCCAGAAGAGACTTAGAATCATGGAGTCCTCAGACTGGAGGGTCCTATAAATCTCCAGTCCAACCCCCTGCTTTTGCAGATAAAGACATTAGGGTTCAAAAAAGAGGAGCCACTTATTGAAGGTGACACAAAGCTACAGTTGGGACAAGAAGCTAGTTGCCTGTTCTCACCAAGCCCCTCCCATCTCCCTGCTCTGCACTATGCTTCTTCCTCAAGTAGCAGTGGCCCTTCCTGGAGACGTCCAGCTGGCCGGAGGTGGAAGAGGTCTGCACTGAGAAGCCAGACTTCATTTGTTGGTAAGCCAGTTTAAGCCGAATTTCTGTGACTAAGCCATTTGACCATAATTTGCTTAAGTCTTTTTCTTTTAAAGATTTATTTATTTATTTGAGAGAGAACATGCACATGTGGTGGGGGAGAGGGGCAGAGGGAGAGAGAATCTCCAGCAGACGTCACGCTGAACACGGAGCCGACTTGGGGCTCGATCTCATGACCTGAGCTGAAATCAAGAGTTGGATGCCTAAACAACTGAGCCACCCAGGTGTCCCTGTAACTATTATGTTCTAATTGTCAAAATTATTATTCAGTATTAGGTTATAATAACAATTATTAGTAGTACAATTGATCAAGACAACATAAAATATTACAACATAAAATATTACACAATTCAATAAGAAAAGAAACTTTTAATAAAAGGTAGCAATACATACCATATCCTGGTCATAAAACAAACCTCAACAAATTGAAAAGAATTGAAATAATATAGACTGTGTTCTCCAGCCAAGTGGAATCACACTAGAAATCAATAACAGGAAAATATCAAAACACTTCTACATAATCCATGGGAAGAGAGGAAGTCTCAAGGGAAATCCAAAAATACATTGAACTGAAAGGAAATGAAATACAGCATATCAAAAGTTATGGGACACAGCTAAGCAGGGCTGAGAGGAAAATATGTAGCACTAAATCCTTATTTTAGAAAAGAGGAAAGTCCCATATCAATAACAAAATCCCCCACCTCAAGACCCTAGGAAATGAAGAGCAAATAAACCCATGGGCAAGCAGAAGGAATAAAATGATAAAGGTAAGAAGAGAAATCAATGAAATTTAAAAATGGAAAAGCAATAAAGAAAATTTGTAATATAAAGAGCTGATTCTTTAGAAAGATTAATAAAATTGACAAACCTCCAGCAAGACTGACAAAGAAGAAAAAATAATGAGAGAGAGAAAAGACACAAATGATCAATATCAGGAATGAAAGTGGGGATATCACTACAGAGTCTGAAGACATCAAAATGATATTAAAGGAATTCTAGGAACAATTCTACTATCATAAACTTAACAACTTAGATGAAATGGATCAATTTCTCAAAAACCACAAACTTACAAATAATTATAAAAAATTATAAATCACCCAATATGAAGGAGATAATCTGAAAAACCCTATGACAATTAAGAATTCATAATTTTCCCCCCTCCCCAAATCTCCAGACCCAGATGGCTCAGTGGAGAAAGTTACCAAACATTTAAAGAAGAATTAATACCAATTCTATACAATCTCTTTCAGAAAATAGAAGAGGAGGAAACACATTCTAGTTCATTTTATGAAGATATGATTATCAAGATACCAAAACTAACCAAAGATGAAAGAACAGAAGAGAGAAAGAAAGAAAGAGACAGAGAAAGAAAGAAAGAAAGAAAGAAAGAAAGAAAGAAAGAAAGAAAGAAAGGAAGAGAGGGAGGGAGGGAGGAAGGAAGGAAGGAAGGAAACTATAGACCAATAAACCTCATAAATATAGACAAACATTCTTAATAAAATATTAGCAAATAGAATTCAATGACATGTAAAAAGAATTATACACCATTACTAAGTGGGGTTTATTCCAGAGATGCAAGGCTCGTTCAATATTTTTAAATCATAATGTAATCAACCATATTAAAAAGTAAAAGAAAAAAACACATGTGATCATATCAACCAATGCAGAAAAAGCATTTGGCAAATCAGTATCCACTCAAAATAAAAACTTTCAGGAAAAAAGAAAAGGAATAGGGAGGAACTTCCTCAACTCGATGAAGAAAATCTACAAAACACCTCCACCTAACATCGTAGTTAAAAGTGAAAGACTAAATGCTTTCCTCCTAAAATTGGGAACATGTTAGGCAATGATGTCTGCTTTCACTGCAATATAAGCTCTTGCCAGGGCAATAAAGCAAGAAAAAGAAATAAAAATCATATAGATCAGAAAAAAGAAATAAAATTACTCACATTTGCAGATCACATGATTGTTTATGAAGAAAATTCCAAGGAATCTACAGAAGACTACTTAGAACACACAAATGAGTTTGGCAAGGTCACAGACTATGAGATAATCATATAAAAATCAATAAATTGTTTCTCATATACTGTAAATAGGCAAGTGGGCACCCAAATAAAAAATATAATACCATGATACAATTGATCAAAAAGCCAAAATACTGATGTATAAATCTAACAAAACATGCACAGGATGTGTAGGCCTAAAATTATACAATGCTGATGAAAGAAATCAGTAAGATCGAAATGGAGAGACATGCTGTGTGTATGTACTGAAAGAATCAACACAGCAAATATATCAATTGTCTCCAAATTGTTATACAGGTACAACACACTTCTTATCAAAATCTCAACAAGATTTTTGGCAAGTAGTCACAAGATTATTCTAAAATTTACACGGAAAGGCAAAGGAACTAGAACAGCCAGAACAATTTTAAGAAAAAGAAATTGGGAAAAACCATTCTCCCTGATTTGGAGATTTACTTTATAGGTACAATAAATCAATAATCAAGACTGTGTGTTATTGGTGGAAGAATAGACATAGAGATTAATAGAACAGAACAGAAAACACAAAAATAGACCCACACCATGTGTCCAACTCTTTTTTGTCAAAGGTACAAAAGCCACACAGTGGAGAAAAGATAGCCTTTTCAACAAATGGTGGTGGAGCAATTGGGTAGTCTTAGATATATTAAAAACAAAACAAACAGAACAACAACAACAACAAAAAATCAACTTAAGTTTCACATGTTATACAAAAATTAACTCAAGATGGATCATGGATTTAACTGTAAATTATAAAACTATAAAATTTTTAGGAAAAAAAATCACAAGGATCTAGGACTAAGCAAAGAGTTCTTAGACATAAAACGGAAAGTGTGATCCATAAAATGAAAAACTGAAATTA